TTCGTGCAGATCGATGTGTGTGTGCGTTGCTGTTTTTTTTCGTGCAGATCGATGTGTGCGCGTTTTTGGCTCTTCAGAAATCTCTGATTATCCAGCTGTGCAAGGATTTCAAGAGATGACGGTTGGGCAAGCTGTGCAGCATTGCCGAACCCGGTTTTGATCTGCTTTCTGAGCGCGACTAGCATTGACCTACTGCTAGGAGATAAATCTAGGGCCATTTATTTGCTCCTGAAATGCTCCTTTCAAGGAAATCCCTCTGTTTTTTTATTTATATTTCTGCTTTTTTGTTCGGTGTTTTTTTTTTTTCGTATTTGTCTTTAGCCCCGACGGAAAGCTTTCTTCGCTGGCTGGGGCATCAGTCTTGCTTTGCTAACATCCCCCTAAGATTTCAGCTTTCTAGCTTCTCAGATCCCCGAGTTATAAACTTACCCGAGCAAAATTTTGACGGGTTCATACCTGGGATTGTGTTTAAGCTCACTAATACCTACTTGGACAGGGAACACTACCCTAAGATTTCAGTTTTCTGGGAGGCAGATAGGGTTGCCCCACGGCGAGGCAACCCCCTTACCAACCCTCAAGCAAGTCTAGACCCCGCGTGCGAGCGTCTCGAAGTTTTGGCGGAAAAATCGCTCACTCGGGAACCAGAAAAGCTAGAAAGCTGAAGTTTTGGGATTATGTTTCCAGTCCAAATAGAACTCAAAGATTTCAAATTCAGCCCCCGGGGTGTTAAGCATCGACCATCGAGCACTTGTGAGTGGTACCCGCGAAGAAGTAGCTCATCAAGCAGGCGCTCTCCGGCGCACCCTTTATTGAACAGGTAGTTGGTACTAACTGGAGGTATGCAGTACAAAAACAAAGGGACTGCCCTAGCTACCACGAATGTGTGGGCGAACATCCGAAATGTGCCAGCAGAACCAGCGATCTTTTTTAAGATAAATAATTAGTTAACTGCCAGTGAAAGGCCGAACAAGTGTAGTGGGAGAAAAAATTGGTTCAAATGTATAACGCGGGGAAGTAAGTCGGACCATAGATGGAGGACCGAAGAGCAGTAAGAGCCTAAGAATATAGATGGATCGAAACGTTGAATTAGAAAATAGATGCCGTGATTTTTGTAATAAAAGAAGGAGAGAGATAGTAGGATTGGAAATGTAGCAAAGACACTCCTCACAGTGACACTTACACTCAACGATTTACTCCCTTCTCCTCGCCTTTTACCCCCTCTTTCCCCATCATCCTCGCCCACACCCCTTCTGACAGTAAAGGTGCAGAGATGAAAACGACCACTGAGGCAACCTCCCAGGTGATGCTTTATATAATAAAAATTTTATGAGATGGGGTTGTTTTACGTGTGTGGATCGCTGTGTGGCGTGATGCGTAGACTGAAGGGCCAATTAGATAAATGATAAATTTTATGTCTTACTGCAACGCAGACACTAGTAATAATACACAAGACGTAATGCTTGGGCTCTGACGTACAGGGTGGCCTGCTGAGCAGGAGATTCGACAACGGGGTTCCGAGGGGAGTGGCCCTTTCGAGAAGAAGGGAGCCGAGTTTCTGTCATGTCCACAGATAGGACCGGCGAGAGTCGTTGCTGGCGTGCTGGGGTTGCTGAAGTCGTCGTTGGTCCAGGAAAACTGAGGCCGATACTAGTAGAAGAGAACTAAGATCAAGAAGAAAGGTGAAGAGGTTTATAAAGGGAGTTGGAGCCCGCCCCATGGGATGATGTAATAATTTAAAGAAATTTAGGAATTTGGGGAAATGGGAGATAAAAGGGGAAGATAAAGGAAAAGGGAATAGGAGTATGGGGCCAAAAGAAGATAAGAAAGTTGATAAATGGAAAATGAAATGGTTTTTATAGGTATGAAAAAAGGGTAAGACAAAATTAAGGAAAATTGTAAACACACAAGACTGCAGTTGGCATTCCTGAGTCATAGGATAAAAAGAAAAGAAAAAAAAAACACTATATAATTTTATAATTAGAACTGCATATTTACAATGTGCACATATTCAATATGGCAGGCGAAATGGTTGTTTTGGGGAACAGGAAGCATGGCGTTTATGTCTCGGCATACAACTTTATCTTAAGCGACCTGGAGCATTCCTTGCATTGATAGAACACTAGCATTTTGCTGGTGCTGATGTTGAAGGATGTGAGGACAGCGGCCGGTTGAAGGCTTGTTTTTGCTTTGGTGATATTACTGTGTTGCAGGAGACCCACTAATGTGTGATGGAAGATTTGGAGCGAGCGACGAAGACCGGCACATTCATCGGTGGCTTATATCCTCTGGTGAGAAAAAGCCGAAAACATTTTTAAAGGGACTTTTACATGTATGCAATGCAAAAATGTATATTGTCGAGGGGTTGTTTGTGTGTGTACGTATTTGTCTCTGTGTGTGTGTCTGTGTTCATCTGTACCGATTTTTCATCTCGAGATCGAGAAAAGCTGTAAGGCTGAAAATTTGGCAACTTTGTCTACACCTCTGCATGGGCCTCTGTCCTTAAAAGGATCGCTCATATCTTTGTTGTACTCAAGTACCGAGGTGTGTAAGTTTCCTCGAAGAAAATGCTAATTGGCGAATCAGAAAATTTAGAAGGCTGAAATTTTAACGGCATGTTTCCCATCCTCGTAGAGCCTGATAACTTCATATCCACTCCCTCAGGTGTGCGTGGTTCTCACGTACGGAGCTGTGAAAATTTTTGGCGGGTAAATTGCTAATTAGCAAACCAGAAAGCCTAGAAAGCTGGGATTTCAAGGGGATGTTTTTTGACAGTCATGGTGGCCAACTTCAATTATTTTAGCTAAGTAGTATCTGCTGGAAAAAAAAAAGCAGTGCCGTTAACGACAAAAACCTGCAAGAAAATGTGCAACAAAAAAATCATTTATGAAGGCGTGTCTACTTTGAAATGTTTCTTTAAAGCATTTCTGTGGCCACCGTATTTTATATTCTCTTGCCTCTCAAGAGACCTAGGAAATTTATTGCCATTTTCAGAATACAGTGGGTTGAGGAGGGGAAAAAAGCGAAGGAAGGGAGGGGGAGAGATGGTGAAATATCGTATCTCTTTAGTGCTGGCGGCGCTCTCGATAAAGGGACTAAATGTAAAATAACTCCAAAATATAATGGGTGACAGCAGAAAGCTTTTATCCTCTTGAAACCAACTTCATGGGGAAAATCAGTTTAAAATTGGCCTTCACAAGCAAAATTTGATCTTATTCTGAAATTTAACGAATCGTTCGAAAAAGACTTCCCAAAGTAAAATGACACCAACTTGTACAATCCAAAATTGACCCGGTGTTAGTCATTGCTTGCAACTGTTTTTTATGTGTTTTGTGCTGCGTAACAGCAGTACAAAATGCATATTGTCACGGGGTTGTCTGTGTGTGTGTGTGTGTGTGTGTGTGTGTCCGCAGCAACTTGTCCGCACCTTTCAACTCGGAAACCACAAAAGCTAGGAAGCTGAAAATTTAGGGTAATGTCCCCTACCCACGTGTGGCCCAGCAACTCTAAATTCAGCTTCCCCGTACTCGCGGATGACACGTACGCTCCCATAAAAGTTTTTGCGGGTAGAATTATTATTACGGGTACTAAGGAATCTAGGAAACCGAAATTTTTGAACAATGACCTTCTGCCCACGTACAACCTTGCAAATTCAAATTCAGCGTTCCCCGGTCTCGGATATCACCCTCGGCCCGTAACAATTTTGGCAGATAAATTATTATCTTGGGAACCACGAAGATTGGGAATCTGAAATCTTAGGGCGATGTTTCCTATCATCGAACGTATGACCCCCCGCAAATTTGGATTCAGCCTTCACGCGCCCCTGGCTACCACATATAGCCCCGTGAAAGTTTTGGTAGGAAAATTATTATCTTGTGAACTACAAAAGCTAGAAAGCTGGAATTTTAGCATGGCATCTCTCTGTCCACGTACAACTCCGCAAATTTTCAACGTCCCATTGGAAGTTTTGGCGAAGAAAATTATTAAATCGGGAGCCAGAAGGGCAAGGAAATTTTTGTCTGAAAGATCATTCGAAAGCCAGAAAATTAGGAGGTTGAAATTTTGGAAGAATATTCACCTTTCGAGGTCTCAAATTCACTTTTCACGTACCTGCGCGTGAAATTTTCAAATATTTTTTAAGGTTTCAACTATCTTTGTACAGACCAGAGTGCAAAGCACTGAAAGTCATTAACAGGTAATCGTTCGTTGGATGGAATCGCACAAAAGCATGATCGCACTGGCTGTTCTGGTGCGCGCTGCTATTTATTTCAAATGGAATGAATTCGGTTTTCGAAGTTAAAATTTAGTTTGGGACTGAATTCTGTTTTAAAGTTTTGCCTAAAGTCAGCTACGAATTGCAAAAAATAACTTAAAATGGACCTTTGCAGATAAAATATTTGCTGGAATTTTTTCGTTGGAATTTGGTTTGAAATTTGAATTCAGGAATTTCAATTTTTCAAAATTTTCAAAAAAGTTCAAAATTGAAAAAATTCAAATTCAAAATTTGAATTTGAATTCAAACGTATTTGCTGGAAAACTGGTCTGGAATTCGGTGTTGCGGAAAACACTGCCAGAAATAGTCGTATTGTTTGGCTTAAAGTTAATTGCTGTGTTTTACAGGAGTCTCTGTGCAGGTTACTCTTTCTAATTTTTTCCATGTGTTTACTCTGAGCTGATAGTTTGAGTTTGCAGAAATCCAAGAAGACGTACTATGCATACGTGGATGTGCGTGTTTTAGAATTGTATAAATCGGCGAAAGATTTAAAGATTAAGAAGGAGCCGAAATATTTGTTCGATCTCGCAATAGTATTCAATGTACATGAATATGTATGTTTCTTGACAAGTTGCAGTAAATATGCACACTTAGCAGAACACATTTTTATGCGTTTTTGCATATATGCAAATGCGAAAACGCACATTGCGTCGACCTCGGGGTACGTGTGTGTCTGTGTATGTGTGTATGTGCGTCTGTCCGGGTATTTCAACTCGGCACCCAAGCAAGCTCCGGCGCCAAAATCTTGCGAGGGGGTTCCCCGGCCAAGTGCCACCCCAGGACCGCGGTACAAGTCCTCACGCACATCTAGGCCCCGCGTATGAGCGCCTCAAAGTTTTGGCGGGAAAACCGCTAACTCTGGAATCAGAAAAGCTAGAAAGCTGAAATTATGGGATTATGTTTCCCGTCCGTATAGAACTCAAAGATTTTAAAATTCAGCCCCCAGGTATGCGTGTTTCCCGCGTACTGCCCCATGAGGGTCCCTGGCGCGAAAATCGCTGGCTTGGGAACCAAGAAAGCTGGGGGCTGAAACTTTCAGCAAATGTTTCCAGTTCATCTACAACTTAAATTTATCAAATTCAGCCCTCCGTTATGCGTGGTTGCTACGTACGGCTCCGTGAAATTTTCTGGCTGTAATTTGGGTAACTCGGAGACTAAGAAAGCTGGGTACCTGGGATATCAAAGGTATGTTCCCTGTCCAAGTATAATGTGGGCAATTAAATTCCCGAAATTCGAGGATCAGAGGTTTCTAGCTAGCGGAATTTCGAGTCATTGTTATGTAAGCCTTCGCATAATGTGAGCTTTACTTGGGTCATAAACTTGATATGTAAAAATCATCTGCATGTAAATCCCGTCTAGGCGTTAAATGCCTCATTTGTGGCCCTCCATGTACCTCTTACATTACGTGGATAATCATTCAACGAACTGCATTATTTCCATCTGTTGTCTCTCATTCTCGCCTCATGCCTAGCCCATCTTTGTTGATGGCGTACATCGGCCATGCCGCAGTAGTTCGCTGGAGGAATGCTACACCTCACGGGTATTTACTCTGCATTGTTACTCTGCTTATCAGTGTAATGACTGATTTATTGATTTATTTTATCATAATAGCGATTTCATTATTACGTATCATTTTATTGAGGGTTTTGCTCATTGAACTGGTACTGATTAATGGAAAATTCTTTTCGATGTTAGGAAATTTCTTAAAATTTAAGTACTGAAGAGATGCAGATGTGGTACTAAAAAGAAAATATTTGCGATTTGTGTGCCGAAACATTTCTTTCTAAACAGATTTCCATTTTTTTTTTTTGTTCTTTTTTTCGAAATAGATTTTTATTTGCATACTTATTGCAATGTTTTTTTTTTTAATTTTTCTACAGCGACAGTACGCCTTTTTCGCAACTCCTTACTTATTCTTCCTTTTTTTTCCCTTGTTATAGCAAGATTGTTGCAGGAGGATCCGGCGAAGGAGAAGTGGATATGCCTGATGATGCCTGACGAGACTTTTCTCATGCATTTCGAGGAACCTTCAGAATTCAGTGTGTGGATTCAGATGCTTATTTTGAAAGTTCGACGTGCTCGATCCATTCGTGTAGGAACCGAACTCGATGATCAGTGTATCGCTTTATTTGACGTAAGTTGCTATCCTGAAATTTTATTGGTAATAGTGCGAATAAAGTAGTTGTTAAGCTCTTATTGAGGTAATGATTGCCGATAAGTTGCAGTATGCTTGGGATATGGAACCGGTGAGGAAGCCAAAATTTCGATGGAGGCCCAAAAGAGAGGACCCAGTGGCGGATATTGTTGATAAATATGCTGATTTTCTGCTTGGAAAGAAAAGGTATACACATCGCTGTTTTAGAAATTTCTCTAAAGTTTTAGAATTTTTAGAAGCTAAGTGCCGTTTCTCCCCTCAGTCGACTCCTCTTTTTTTCTTCCCATCCTTCTTGTCTTGCATAATTTTTAGTTGATTTTCATCGCAATGCAGTTTGTCTACGCACGTAAATCAAAAAAGCATTTGAGGAAATAGCAGTAAATATCATCATTTTGTGCATTTCAAAATATACTTTTGCTGACAGGCCCTGAATTCAGTTATTTTCACTTTCGATTATGACAAATTGCTACCTGGCAAAGCGCTACTTCGTAACACCATTATTATTATAATAAAAAGGTGTATTGAAATAGGAAGAAGAATCGAAGAAAAATTTAAAAAATAAGAATTAAGTAATTAGTAAAAGTAATAAAATTATTTAAATAAAATTATTATAATGGTAAGAAATGTTTCGGTCCATTAAGTTATTATATTCATTATTGTTTTCCTTTATTTTTCTTACGACTTTATTAAGTAATTGTTTTATATCTAGAAAAATTGTTAGAACGCGTTTTGTAGAAGTTTTAGAGTCAATTCGATGATAAGTTGCCACTAATACTTATTAGAATTGGGAATTGATTGAGCAGTCTTTGAAAGAAGAAACTAGCAGATGATTGAGCTTGGCAGCGTACTGCCCAAGAGCTACTTCCGAGTGTCTCCGCTTCTCACGGAGAGAAATATGTGGAGAGAGCTTAACTTTTTA